TCGTCGCTTGACTGCATCCAGACGATTTCCAGCTTCCAGGGTTCTCCAACTCTAGACATTGTTCCGGTAGACTCCAGACGACTGCTGATAGCTTCGATGTCTGGCAAGCTGACGCTGTTCGATGCAGCCGCCAACGCTATACTGGAAGAACGTAAAGATCACTCCAAGTATGTTGTCAAAATCTCCACCTGGTCTTCCGAAGGCGGTTCCATGCTAGTTGCCAGCGCGGGATGGGATGCCAAAGTAGTCCTATACCAGCTTGATCCCAATGTCGACCAGCCGCGACTAGGAGACCCAATAGCAACCTTGTCGTTACCCAGCATTCCAGAGTCGACCTTATTCGTCACCTTACCTGGAGACGGAACACCAGTCCTGGTAGTTGCTCGAAGAGACTCGACCTTTCTGCATTTCTACGCTGTACCTAGCCCAGAGTCACCGACGTTCACCCTGATCGGCAAGCAGAATCTTGCTCCGCATTCCAATGCCTGGGTTGCATTCACGCCATCCGATATCCAGATCTGCCCTACAAATCCACATCTTGTGGCGATCGCGACATCCAGCACGCCGCATATGAAGCTATTGGTCGCGAAGCTTCTGCTTCCTCCTACTCGTTCTTCAGTGACGGATACAGGTACTAGTCTAGACTCGGATGGACCCGTCACACAAGCGTCGCAAGCCCGGGCTGAGCTGCTCGTTGCAGATAAAGAAGAAGCGGCTATATTAGTCAATGTCTCCACTCTTGCGCCACAAACCGCTTACTCCACGCCGCGTCTCGTCTGGCGACCTGATGGCTCTGGTGTGTACGTGAGCTCTGATGATGGTGTGGTTCGTGGCATTGAAACCAAGAGTGGAAAGTTGATCTCATCATTGGAGGCACACGAGCCTGGGTCAAAGCTACGATGTCTTTGGGCGGGCCAGATGGTAGGGCCTAGTTCCCCTGGTTCAGACGACAAAGGGAAGGCCGAGTTCTTGATAAGTGGGGGGTTCGATCAAAAGCTTATCGTCTGGAGTTCGTCTTGATCCTTCCATATGCAATGCCATCTCGATGGAGGCTATATAGCATACTCAGGGGCATGCATACGTACTTCATGGCTTTCTAGAGTAAGAATGGCAACGTGCAGCTCGTTCCTGGTGCTAACCCTTCGTTGGGAAGGATGTTGCTGACTCGACTAGATTTGACCCACAGTTGGCGCTTTATTGTCCCCAAACGATGTAACAGTTAGGCCCTAAAGGACGTTAATCCTAGGTGATATCACTTACCCGTTCCTTTACTATACTTCATCCAGCAACGGCTATCTAGCATGCAAGTAGCCATAGCTGCGGCAACGTCCGAGGCGTGCCGCAACGCCTCTATCACTAAATGCATGCAAAGACCGATCATAATCGACAGCAGCAGGACTGGCAGGATTACTGGGTCTTTAACATGTCTCATTTACTGAATGAAGTATGGTATTAATTCTTTTTGATCGGCAAAGGCAGTATGCGACACCCCACGTCGATCCGATCCCTCAGCAGCTGCCTCACGACCCTCGTAGCGACGCAACCAGGAAATGCAATAGGTACGGTTGCATGTTCCAAGATGAAGTTGATGACGCTATCAGCAAGCCAGTGGCGGCTTTTACGCGGCACCTAGCGCCGTTAACGGGATGGCGGTGCCATGCACCCTTGCACCTTAAGGACCGCGATCTCGCTAGCTTGAGATCTGGTGGAAACGAGACAAAACGCCGCATCAACGCCATGGCTTGAGCTTCAAGGATCAATCTCTTGCTCCAGATCTGACTGCAGACCGGGACGGGGAGGCTTCCTATAGGTAGTTCGCCGACTGTCACAAGGATATCCGACCCCTACTCTTACGATGCCGGAACGGGAGATCATGGCTGATGGTAGTTTAAAAGCAGAAGAACGGATCTCGTCCTACGCGATCAAAATCTCAAGTTCCCCGATCGTTCTCATCCCAACTCCCATCTTCGATTTGCTATTGAATGAGCCCTGATCAATCATATTCTAGTTCAATTACATATTGACGTGTCCTTGGAGGTGGATATCTCCAGATACAGTCGCGACACCCACATTTCAACAATGTCCTACACAGATTCTCAGAAGTACGGAGATGAAGACTTTCTTCTTGTCGTCTCTGGGACAACACGTTATGCTCCATACTTGACTGGCTGGCAAGAATTCAAGGACCACCTTCGCAAGGTGGTCAAAGAGCAGCCGGGATGGGCTGATGTATATTCCAGCCAAGGTCAACGACGAGGGGAGATGCAGGGGTGGTGTCGTCTCAAGGACAGGGAGGATGCCGATGCAGTATACAGTGCGTACCGAAGTCGCTAAACTTGGGTAACACGACGCTAACTCCATCCGTAGAAGTCTACTACCGTTCAAAGGGCATGCTGGTGCATGTGTGGGAAACGAGTCGCAAGGGTGACGGTTACCGATTAATGCGTTGCAACTGCTCCACATTGTTCCCTGAAGTGCCCGAAGGAGGCCATTCCACTGGGCGTTGTGGCATCGACATCGGAAGAGTAAACCAACTTGGCGGCGCCCGCGCGAGCACGACAGCAGCATCTGGGCCATACATGACAACACAGGCCAGGTACCCGTACGCAATGTACCCGCAGATGCAAACATATCCCCCCCAGCAAGTCGCATATACCCATGCCCCAGTTTACCCAGCTTATGCGTTGCCGCAACCACCTGTATACTCGACTAGCACGAACGGAATGCCAGTCAATGTCCGGGGTGGAGCAGTCTTGACTGAAGCGCGCGGCATCTTCGTTCGTAACCTCAGCTACAAATGCACATCCGACGATCTCAATGCGCTGCTGTTGCAAACCGTCGGATACGCCATCGAAATCCAACTCATGAGAGATAGCCGCACCGGCGTGTTCAAAGGCGTGGCAACCGCCAAGTTTGCCTCGAAGGAGTTGGCGCAACACGCGGCAAACACGCTGAATGGGCGCGAGCACATGGGTATGGTGCTGCACGTGCGCATGGATACTGATACCACGGTGGTTGGACGAACTGAACCCATGGTTGTGAACGGGTCGTACAGAGTACGTTGATGAAGTCAATATGACGAATCAATTTCTAATATAGTGTAGCATTGATAGCTATGAAATGGAACATGACTTCAGTTTTGCGACACAAATAGTCTCTTAGGAGGTCATCCGCGCTTCTTCATGCCACGAGGAGCAGCCGTGTGGCGTAGTGATATGATGCTGTCACAACAGCTTTGCACGCGAGGGCGTTGTTGTGGAGTGTCCCACTGTTCGGTTTTGTTATAGGGAACGGGTGATCGAAGTGAGGATGACAGCGGAGCAATGTCCATTACCGGTTGTATCGCCTCAAGTACTGTGTACCAAGACAGCCTTGAGCCCCGCGGCGCAGGGTTACAGGGGCGCTAGATCTTTCGGTTTCAGATCCTAATGCCGTCGTACATATTCCCGCAAACGTAAACTGGACCAAGCTCGAGCGTTGGCTAGGGCTATACCAGCCGCAAATAAGCAACATGACGCCGTCCTACTCCAGACAAGTTTTATCGGCTCGTTGTCCATATGGATTGGTTGAATTCGAGAAGATCTGTGTAAGGGAAATCACATGTGAAGCCACTCTTCTTAGAGTGAACACCCGCAGTGATCTCGTGTATCGAAGGCTGACGTCCAAGTAATGTTGACCAGGTCTCCGGGTCTCCGGGTCGCCTAATCTTATCTGTCATAAAGCAGGCTGAACGTTAGATCGTCTTCGTTACGAGCCACGGTGGGGCGGACTTCCTCGGTGCCCAACGTGCGATACGGGGGTTCTGGAAGAATTAATGAAGATCCAGTAGGTATAGCACTGCCGCTTTTACCTTCGATTTTAACTTTCTCCTTAAACATGGTCGATGCCGAGAAATCTCGGCGATGCGCCCTCAGCCTGGTAGCTGTGAGGTCAACGATATTGCCCAGAGAAATGTCGTATGATTATTGATGTATTACATGCATTCATGTAGGTCATGTTCGTGTGATACCCACGATGACGCGCTTGCTAGGGTCGTTGCACAGCTATAGAAGGGTAATGAGACGTCAACAACCCCACGCGATACAAGGATACTCGCTAGCTCATTTCAGCGGCTGGGATAGAGGAAGAAGAACCCAAGAGATCTCGAAACGAAGACTAACGCACGACGCGCCGCGGGGATCGTGGTCAGCGACCCGTTCCGCACCGACGCTATAGCGGTGTGATATCACGCTACATGGATAATGAGTAGTAGGGGTGCAGGAGTGATGCAGGATCTTGGGTTTCACGGCGTCGCGCCACCCACGCGTCTCGTGTACGGCAGAACACGAGCGTTAGGATGGCTAAGCGACATCATCTAGATCCGAAGCGATGATGAATGAGAACATCATGCTCTGCTACCGGCTGTCGTACCCCAAGAGGCTAAGATCCAGGGGCTGTAAATGTGGAGCCGCGATCGAGGGGCTCTTGTGGCAGGAAGCAGGCCCCCAATGGGAGACGATCTAAACGCTTCACTTTCGCATATGCTTTTTGCTTTTAGTAAGCCCTACTGAGTGTGAGGACTTGTTAGAGATGCAAGCGCGATCGGGAGACATCAGCGTCCCACCTTCATGATAGTATCAGCAAACCATCACACAACGACATCGCTGACGTTCACTCCGTCGTTGATACGAGCCAGGATATAGGGCCGATTGCGGGCCGTCATCGGTATGGCACCTAGGTACCGAAACCAAAACCTGCCTGTGCAGCAGCTGGGAAGCAAGCCACCGGTTCCTTCCGTCACGGCTTGTCGAGCGAAGCAGCAAAACTAGCACACTCTACCGAATTTGAGGGTTTAAAGTCGAACTAGAGAGCTACGATATCAGCTTCCATCCCATTCACAATGATCGGAGATGGTGACCACCGAGCCGTATTGATGAAATGCTCATAGAGATGTCGAAAAAGTTTCTTCAAATGGGTTCTTTGAGTTTCGAAAGACATCATAGGCTCATCCCCTCCATGTGCTAAACTCTCCAACCCTTCTTCTGCGACTTCACAGTAACAACCCAAAGCACCACCAACCAACCCGTCCCCACCATCAAACAAGCGCCACTCCAAACCTGCACCCCAATGAAATTGGTGCGCCCGTCCGTCTTCTTGAGTAGAGCCCCGGCAATCGGCGCACCGATAAGCGTAGCAATACTAGACACACTCCAACTCATGCCTAGCCTGGTCCCCAACCGCGAAAGATCGGGTGTGATGTTTGCAAAGGCCGCAGACGGTACGGTTACCAGAGCCGCCGAGAAGAAACCTAAGTTCATAGTCAGTCCAATGTGACACATGAGGTAATAGTAGCAACGTACCCCACAGTATACTGAAAGCAATAAAGCTCTTCTCAGTCTCTATACTAATCCAAACCAGTGCCAACAACCCACTCGCAAACGCGCAAATTCCCCATGTGACGATAGCCCCAACCCAATGCGCTGCGACGCCACTGACCAGTCTCCCGAAGAAACTGCCCGCTATAGCCAACACAAGCATATACAGCGCCGTGCTCTCCGAGCTGCCGAGACGTTCGCGCGCATACGTCGGGATATAGAAGTAAGGCACAATGTAGCCGAGGAAAGTGCTGAAAGAGCACGCAGTGAAGACGAGGAAGAGACGGTCATGGAGCGCTGACTTATCGAAGAGCGCACGACGCTTTCGCTTATGCTTCAACCACGCGGAGCCAGAGAGCAGAGCGGGAATGGAAAGGAGAGCAGCGGCTAAAGCGACGAAACCTATAGCGCGGATAGCCCAGGGAAAACCAGCGGTCTTGGTAAGGCGGTCGAACATGATTATGTAGATTACGCCTCCTGGGGTCGTGCTGTTAGTCGCGTTGCATTGTATTTGGAAAGAGATGGTGCTGAGGAAGACATACCCACAGCAATCCCACTCATAACAATACCCATAGCCAACGCTCTCTTCTTGCTAAACCACACTCCCACCATGGCCAAACTAGGTATGTATAACAAGCCAGCTCCCATGCCCATACACACGCCCTGACTGAGAAACACCTGCCAGTACTGCGTACTCAGACTAAGCATCATGATGCCTAGCACGACTAGAAAATTGCCAACGAGCAGCATGCTGCGGAAATAACCGAGATCAAACAAGGGGCCGGATAGCGTGCCGATGACAATAAGCAGCCAGGCTTGTACGGTGCCAATCCAAGATATAGCGCTGGGGGTAGAGGAGGTGAGGAGCGTGGTGCGGTAGTAGGTTTGGAAGGCGCCGTAGGTTAGGGTGAAGCCCCTAGGTGAGCAGGAGTGTTAGCTCATTTCATCTGAGATGTAGAGATGTTGCAAGCGTTAACGTACCAGATATTGATGTATATCATGAATCCTCCAAACACCTTCAACCAGGCATGGAGTCCGCCATCTGGAGGTGGAGGGATAGCGGATTCGGCAGTCACAGTTGATCTCGCATCTATTTGCGCTTCTTTGTCCCCCACTACCTCGTGGTTGCTTGCCGTTTCCTCTTGTTGATGGATGTCATCGTGGATCGAAGACGACGGGCGGCTCATGTCTTCTTGCGAGACTGCTTTGTCTCTAACGACATGTTTCTCCTCAACATCTGATTGGGACATCGCGTGCAAAGCTGCGTCGTCAAGCTTCTTGTTTCTCGACACTACGGGGCGACCCTTTATAAGCTCCGCTAGCTATGCCGATGCACAATATTTAGTCACCGATTTTCTTCCCATGGGTATATGCCGATCACACGATTGTTCCGACTCTTTGTCCGATTCCGGTCTCTGTGTTCCGAGTCATGCAGCACGTCCAAAGTTCCAGAACAAGTAGTCAGAGTAGGCTGCGGTCCGATTGTTGATCCTGATGTCGAAAGAACCAAGCAACACATCAACGGAAGTAGGGGAGGCGAAACAACAAATGCAGATCAGAAACGCGGAATTTACGCGCGGGGACTCCCACCGTCTAAATATCCCCACAAACACCCTTAGTGCCTGAGAGCTATTTAACGGTGACGCTTGCTAGGCGTTTTCTTTCCTCTTTGGCGGTGTTAGTTGGTGTGCGGGGATAATAGTCCCATGCCGAGGTCGGGAATACGCAGGCGTTGAGCGGCACTAGCATCACCAAAGACGACCACAATGTCGGCGTGTTTGCAACCGAAGCTTGTAGCAGCGCTTGGTTGCCTCACAATCACTCAATCTATATGCGGTTCTTCTAGAACTGCAATGTACGTTCACTAGACAAGTGAAACTCGATGCACTTGCATCGCAGCAGATGCGTGGCTGGCTGTGAACGAACGCGGAATGCGAGCGTTCAAGTGTTGGCGTGCTGCAAAGATTGATTTGCGACCAGAAGTATGGGCGGAGCTGCTCAATAGATCTGTCACATGTGGTAACCAATTCTCGGCTTCCGTGCGTCGTCGACCACTGACCCAGCTGCGCTGTCGGGAAGGCAAGAGCTGCGCCATGTAGACAAGGTCTGCTGGCAGCTTCATCTTTTTGGCAACGGACAGACATGCCATAGGCTCGCCATACAAGTCCAAGTAGCTGTATATGCAAAGAGTAAATCGCGAAGAGACGATGAAGCGGCGGTGAAGATTAATGAGCTTTGAATTGATGTATCCGTGATGTGTCTGAAAAAGCGACAATCGCAGATGGTCCGGCAAATTTGGTAGAATGTAGCCCGCAAAATATGTTATACAAGGAGTGCGCCGGTGCTGTCCAAGCTCTTCCACCGAGTCCGAGTCCAGGCGCCGTATCGAAGGTCCGTCTTCGAGGTCGCTCGTCGGCCGCTCGGAAGTTAAATCCAGAAAACAATCGATGTCATGGCTCCAAGCTCAAGCCGTTGGCTTTGCGAACTTGGCTTTCCTGGCCTCGGCAGCGGCCCTATCCTTCTCGCTCATCCAGCTTCCGCCAGGACCACCGCCAGTCCTGTTCTCGCGTGTGTTCTCGCGTGGACGGTTGTCCCTGCTACGAGGGCGGTTGTCTCTCCGTCCTCCACGAGCGCCAGTGCGACCTCCGTCTCGTCCGCCATCGCGGCGCCCCTCACGGCGCTTGTTGCTACCAGCTTCGTCGCCACCTGCCTCTCGTTGGCGCTTCTCGCGGCGCTCTGGGAGAGCCTCATCGAGACCCTTGGGAGGACCGACTTCTCCGAACTTCTTAGCGCGCTCCAGCTTCTTGAGACCCTCATCGTCCTCGAACTTAGTACCAAACTTCAACGCGCGCTTCTTGCGCTTCTCAATCTCTTCGTCGAGGTTGGTGGCAGCAAGACCCCGTGTGTAATCAGGAGTGGGCTCCTTCTTCTCTTCTGGCTTGGGCTCTGTGCTGGCTTCGGCGGCGCCTTCCGCGGGCGGATCGATGGTCAGGTCGTCGGTTTGCGCAGGGTCGATGTCGGCGACTTGGTTGGGTACGGCTTGCGGGTTCGGTGGCTGGCCTTCGCCTCCAGCGTTTGCGACGATCTCTGCGTTAGGAATGACGGTCTCTTCTGTCGCTGTGGTGGTAGCAGCTGGTGCAGCAACGGCATCATCAGCTTCGTCGTCCCAGTCAATCTCATCTTCAGCGCCAGCGGCAGGCTTGTCGCCAGACTTCTCGTCGTCTTTTTGCAGGCGCTCGACCATCTCTGCCTTCTTGCCGGTGTGAGGTAGCTTGCGCTCCTTGAGGAGCGCCGACAGCTCGTCGTTCTTCATCTTAGAGTAGTCCGACATGGCTGCGCGTGTGGTTGTGATAGGGGAGGTGAGCGACGTTGGTGAGGGCGACGCGACACGGACAGGGGCGCGTAATCTGGGAAGCTGCGAACGTGTTCGGATGCGCCACGAGAGTAGTGAAGTCAATCAATGAGTTTTCGCGTGCCGCGCGATAATGGGGAGAAGAGAAGGAGGAGGAAGAAGCGCAGTGTTTGATAAAAGGCGCTGACTGTGGTCGAAACAATGGATTGGCTGTCGGCGAGGATCCACGGATGGATCGAGTGAGAGAGCTTTGACCCCCGGAGCTAGACTACTTCCGGTGCCCGGATCGCTCTTGCTGAACCCTGGTATTGTGTTTCAACCGGACAATCACATCGCATCCAGTGGAGCGTGCTTGGAAGTAACTTTGAGACGAACAATAGGATCGTTTCCTGATTTTACAATAGGTCAATTGATGCACGCTACTATGTACTTTAATGTAAATAGTACAACCACGCTTTCCAAGACGCGTTTCACCGTGTTTACCTGTTGCGAATCAGAAGGCAGATCAAGTCCAGAGACGAAGGCAGCGACTCTGAGCAAAAGCATACAATTGGAAGGCTGTGTTTCGTTCACTGTTCGTCAAGTGGCGTTTTGACGCGTTAAGAACTGCCCGGCATGCAGCACGACAAAGTCGTAATCTGGCGCAAGTGACGGGTCTCAACTTATGCCATCCATTCCAGACTTTGAGCAGACGACCTTGACGAGTTGGTAGTGAAGGAAGGTATAGAGAGATATACAGGGGATCGCAGGCCCCATTGAGGCATCTCAGAACGAGGGTCCGAGCTGATGCGTCATCGGCTATCGGCGGTATTCTCACGAACAAAAGTGTCAGACAGCCTCCCAAGCATCACTCGAGATGCCCTCATGTTCATAGCCCGGACACGCACGTGCTTCTTGCGCGGTTTACCAATCGCTCGTCTTTACCACAACGCTGCCAAAATGGAGAAGCGCGACTACGCGGTAGGTCAGCAGCAGTGCGCATGTGGGTTGAGCTGATAGTCACAGGCTGCGGTTGCGGCGCTGAACACGCTTCAGTCCAACTTCTCCATAGTGGATGCGATTCGCAAGTCTGGTCGGGGTATGAACCAACAAGCGATACCCGAGATGATCGAATGGTGTCGCAAAGCTGGATATGAGGTGTGCGGCTCCCACTGACCCCACCCGAAGACTGCGACTGACGAAGCTGTCAGCCCTCAGAGTTCGACCGGTTGAAACCTATACACATCGCCGGTACGAAAGGCAAAGGCTCTACGAGTGCTTTCATCTCGTCTATCCTATCACAATACACCACCCCCGGCGACGCGCAGACCCCACCCTCAAAAATCGGTCTCTATACCTCCCCACATCTACGATTCGTACGCGAGCGCATACAGATCGATAATGAACCGATATCAGAGGAGAAGTTCGCGAAATACTTCTTCGAGGTGTGGGACAAGCTGGAAGCAGCGGCAAAGGCGGAGAATGCGCCAGCAGAGGTCCCTACAAAGCCAGTATACTTCCGCTATCTGACGCTCATGGCGCTACACGCATACCTGAAGGAGGGTGTGGACTCGGCTGTCATCGAATGTGGAATTGGCGGCGAGTTCGACAGTACAAACATCCTCACGAAACCCACCGTCACAGCCGTCACAACGCTAGGAATAGACCATACAGCGATGCTTGGTTCTACGCTTCCAGAAATAGCCTGGCATAAAGCCGGGATCTTTAAGGAAGGCAGTACCGCATTTACAGTGCGCCAAAAGGAGGAAGCTATGACAGTCTTGGAAGAGCGGGCAGCCGCGAAGGGCGCGAAGCTACACACTATTGATGTGCATCCAGCTTTAGCGAACAACGAGATCAAGCTTGGGCTAGGTGCAGCCTTCCAGAAGATCAACGCGTCCGTGGCGATAGCTGCCGCAGCGGCGCATCTGCGAGTACTTGGGCACACTTCTGTACCCGACCCAACCATTGTTCCGCATATTGAGCTCCCCTCTGAGTTCATTCGCGGTCTGGAACAAGTGCGATGGGCTGGTAGATGCGAGATCAGACGCGAAACCAACGTCGCATGGCACATCGACGGAGCCCACACTATGGAAAGCATAGAGGTCACTGGCAAATGGTTCGCG